CTACCAGGCTCCCATGTCAGAGATATGATGTCCACGTTGTCTTCTGCCCCTGCTTTACTCAGCACAGGGCAAGTCCAAGCAGCTGGTTGTAGCAATTGTGTGATAATTTTTTTTCTTTTTGGGGTGTGGGGGGGTTCCGATCGTGGGCCTCAATTCTGGGCCTGGGTGCTGTCCCTCAGCTCTTCAGCTCAAGGCTAGCGCTCTACCACTTGAGCCCACAGCGCCACTTCTGGCTTTTTTTTTCTGCTTATGTGGTGCTGAGGAATCAAACCCAGGGCCTCATGCATGCAAGGCAAGCGCTCTACCACTGAGCCACCTTCCTAGCCCTGTGTGATAATTTTTTTTTTTTGGGTCCGGTCATGTGGCCTGAACTCTGGGCCTGGGCACTGTCCCTTAGCTCTTCAGCTCAAGGCTAGTGCTCTACCACTTGAGCCACAGCACCACTTCCGGCTTTTTTCTTTTTGCTTATGTGGTGCTGAGGAATCGAACCCAGGGCCTCAGGCATGCAAGGCAAGCCCTCTACCACTGAGCCATCTTCCCAGCCCCCTGTGTGATAATTTTTAATGATAATTTTATGTAAAACATAATACTGAGAAATTTAGTACCTCTCTCTTCCCAATCATCCCTCAGTTAATATATTGCAAAACTATAAAACAATATTCCAGCGAGTTGTTTACATTATGTAGTCGAGATACAATTCCCATCACACTTTGTTATCTCCAAGATGTATAATTCCAGCCCACCATGTCAGTGGGTTATTAATGGCATAGAGAAACGTTATTGGCTTCTTTGCAAATGTTTTGATTTCTATTTAGACATTGAGCTAGATTATTCTGATTTTCATCAGTTATTTGCCTGGGGTCTTGTTATTTAAAATGTTATCTTTTTTTCTTTGTCTACCACGGTGCTGTCCCTCAGCTCTTCAGCTCAAGGCTAAGTACTCTACCACTTGAGCCACAGCACCACTTCTGGCTTTTTCTGCTTATGTGGTGCTGAGGAATCGAACCCAGGGCCTCATGCATGCAAGGCAAGCACTCTATCACTGAGCCACCTTCCCAGCCCCTAAAGTGTTAATTTTTCAATAGTTAGCTTTTCTCTTGAGAACTATCAACTTAGTCTTAATTTTTTTTGTTTTGTTTTGTTTTTTGCTTTGTGCTGGTTCTGGGGCTTGCACTTAGGGTCTGGGTGTTGTCTCTAAGCCAAAAGGCTTAGAGACAAGGATATCACTCTCTCGCCCTTGAGCTCAGCTCTACTTAGGCTTTTTTGTGGTTAATTGAAGATAAGAGTTGCACAGGTTTTCCTGCACAGGCTGGCTTTGAACTGTGATCCTCAGATCTCAACCTCCTGCCCATCTAGGATTACAAGCACGAACCACTGGTACTTGGCTTAGGGTTGAAATTTATTGAATGCATTTCAACATCTGTTTAAGTTATTATAGATTTTTCTTTTGTGACAACCTTTAAAATTAATAGATTTAAATACTAATATAATCATTTATTCCTGGGTCAATCCTGTTCATTATGGAAGACTTTTATTGTAGTACTAAATTTAAATTACCAGGTCTATTCATACTTTTTGTCTCTATAGAGTGATATTAGTATGCTGGGCGCTGATGGCTCACACCTGTAACCCTAGCTACTCAGGAGGCTGAGATCTGAGGATCGCAGTTCAAAGCCATCCGGGGCAAGAAAGTCCATGAGACTCTTATCTCCAATTAACCACCAGAAAACCAGAAGTGGTGCTGTGGGTCAAGTGGTAGAGTGCTTGCCTTGAGCTGAATTGCGCAGGGATAGTGCCCAGGCCCAGAGTTCAAGACCCATGATCGTCAAAAAAAAAAAAAAGTGAAAAGTGTTATTAGCGTGTGTGTATGTGGATACATGTGAATATATGTACATGAACGTATGTATGGGTTTGGGGGAGGAGAAGTATGAAGGGGTGTAGGTACATGTGCCTGCATCGTCTGCTCTGATAACATCATACACTGAGATGAGGTAGCAGCTTGTTTATTTCTATGCTTTGACACAGTTTATATAGCATGATTATCTGTTCCTTAAAAACCTGAAAGATTGCACTGGAAAGACCATCTGGTCCAAATAATTTCTTGGAAGCAGACTTCTGACTCTCCTCTACTCCTTCCATATTTATGATTCAGTTTCAGTTCCTTTTGGAGTTCTGCAGTATCCTGAAATCTTAAAGTATCGACTTAGCATGGAAATTTACTAGTATAAAATTCCGTATGCTGATTTTTCATGGCAATTAAAGAATCTGGATATATTAGTGTGGTTCATCTGTTACAACTAGTGAGCTAAAGTTGAGAGGTTGTTATTCACTCAAGTCCAACTTCATTTCTATGTTCTCAGGTTTTTGTTGTTGTTGTTGTTGGTCCTAGGGCTTGAACTCTGGGCCTGGGTACTGTCCCTTAGCTTTTTTTGCCAAGGGGTGCTACTCTACCACTTGAACCACACATCTGTTTTCATCTTTTTCTTTTTTATTTAATGTTTTAATTATTGTTATAAAGGTGATATATAAAGGGGTTACAGTTACATAGGTCAGGTAAAGAGTACATTCTTGTTTTGCTAGTCCTGGGTCTTGAGCTCTGAGCCTGGGCACTGTCTTTGAGCTCCTTTTGCTCAAGGCTGCTGCTCTACCACTTCAACCATACCTCTGCTTCCATCTTTTTCTTTTTCTTTTAAGTTTAATTTTTGTTATTATAAAGGTGATGTATAGCCGGACACCAGTGGTTCATGGCTGTAATCCTAGCTGCTGAGGAGGCTCACGGTTCAAAGCCAGCCCAGGCAGGAAAGTCCATGAGACTCTTATTTCCAATAAATGGCTCCGAAAACTGGAAGTGGCGCTGTGGCTCAAGTGGTAGCCTTGAGCTGAAGAGCTGAGGGACAGGAACCAAGCCCAGAGTTCAAGCCCCACGACTGACCAAAAAAAAAAAGGTGATGTACAAAGGAGTTGCAGTTACACAAGTCAGGTAAAGAGTACATTTTTTTTTTGCCCACCCTGGGACTTGAACTCTGGGCTTGGGTGCTCTTCATGAGTTTCTTTTTGCTCAAGGCTAGCACTCTACCACTTGAGCCACGGCACCACTAACAGGGTACGTCTCTTTTTGGACAATGTCATCCCTTCCCTCTCTCCCAGTTTTCCCCTCCTGTCTCCACCCACACGTTGTGTAGTCATCCTTTTTTTTTTGAAGTTAGCATTTTACAGTTACATGCTTCCTTAATCTAATCCTGCCTATGACTCTTCTCAGTCTTGTCTATTTTTAATGACTGTGACAAATTAAAGGCATACTGATCAGGTCTCTTATAGAATGCTCAGCCACTGGCATTAATCTTACGATTTTCTCATGGATAGAGTGAGGTTTTATGTTAGCGAGGAAAGTCTTCCTACAGGGTAGAGTGGTATTTCTGTCATATTACATCATAATGTTAACATAGCATCACTGTGGATATTTGCCTGGTTTTTCCATACTGTACTTTTTGGAAGGAAGTTGTTATGTGAAGCCCGTTTAGGGAATGGAGTTATGTATTCTCCCTCCTTGAAAGCAGGGTGTGTGCATACATTATTTTGAATTATCCTTCACGGTAGATCCATCTGCTGTCTCCCATTCATTTATGCTGAATGTGGATAATGATTGTACACTTTGGGTTAGAATTTAATACTGCTTGGTTTGTTTTGCTCTCCAAGTTTTCCGGCTTTAGCGCTTGGGAGCTCCCCTGGTGGCTCTGTGACTCTGACAAGTCTTGATCTCTGTGGGCTTCTGTGGTTGCTGTTGTCATAATTGTCCTCACTCCCTGGTGCTGCAGGATGCCGCAGACACTTCTGCATTTCCTATTAGGTCCCAGAATCAACCACTCCTCCGGGGGTCCTTGATTGCTTCTGTTAAAAAGTAGTATTGCAGGGCTGGGAGGGTGGCTCAGTGGTAGAGCGCGTGCCTTGCATGCATGAGGCCCTGGGTTCGATTCCTCAGTACCACATAAGCAAAAAGAAAAAAGCCGGAAGTGGCACTGTGGCTCAAGTGGTAGAGCACTAGCCTTGAGCTGAAGAGCTGAGGGATAGCGCCCAGGCCCAGAGTTCAGGCCCCACTACCTGACCCCCCCAAAAAAAAGAAAAGAAAAGTGGTATTGCACTCAACGTCTGATACCTGGTTTGATTGTTGCTTCTAGAGAGTGGTTGGTTCTAGGCCTTCTAAGAAAGGAAATAGATGTATGTATTAAGAAAACAAAAACAAAAATGGAAGAAAGGAAACTAAGAATTTCCCACGTTTTCTCTTTCAAACACTATCTTTTGTCTTAATGACTGGTCGCATATTTGAAATCGTCAACTTTTGGAGGTCTAAAATTGGAAAAAGAACATCACAATTACAGTTACCAAGAATGTATCTGCATTGTATTGGTGCATTAGGCTTTGGGTACACCATCTCTGGGCATTACTGTGATGTTTTAACCTACTCTCTTAATCCTTTTTGTTCTATACATTCGAGGGAAATGCTATTGGCATCTTTACTTCTGTAGTTAGTTTCGGGGAGTTCCATACACAAAGATGATATCATTTGTGCTGACATTAATATTATTATTTTATTTTTTGTGTTGGTTCTAGGACTTGAACTCAGAGCGTGGGCACTATCCCTGAGCTTTTTGTGCTCAAGGTTCATGAGCAACAGCTTCATTTCTGGTGGTGTGTGTATGTGTGTGTGTGTGTGTGTGTGTGTGTGTGTGTGTGTGTTTAATTGGAAATAAGAGTTCCATGACTGGACTTTCCTGCCCAGGCTGGCTTTGGCTGCAGTTCTCAGAACTCAGCCTCCTGACCAGCTAGGGTTTCAGAGATGAGCCACTGGGGCCTGGATTGACATATTATTATTATTTTTAATCATGCAATTGAAGAATATTAAAACAACAATTGAAGATTATAAAACAGATCTGATCTTTTAAAAAGAGCTGTGTAGATAATTATTTTTGTGAATATTGAACAGTGACTGTTTAAACCACTAGATCCTTCTCATTATGAAGATGAAGAACATTTTTTCTCAGTGTTTCACACGCAACTCCCTCCAGAAGATTATGAAAACCATATGCAGAAGGTCGACCAGGGTATGTATTAATTTGTGTGATTGCATGCATGATCACAGGGAATACTTGCTGTGTTCATAAATGGTCATGGGTGAGACGATCTGATGTGTTCAATCTAGAGGTGAGCAGAAGGAGATAGGGTTCAGGGTAGCTTATAATCAGCCATAAGTTGGTCCTTGTTGAAGCCACTTGTTGAACACACACCATTCTACTGTTGAATGTTTGAAAATTTGTATAATAAAGAACTTTACAAACTCCTGATGCAAGTAACCATGGAAACATGGCTTAAGCAAAGTAAAATTATGGGAAGGATCTTGGTGAGAGACCACTTTCTTTGGTTTCCAAAAGCAATGATGTCAGTGCTTGAGGGAACTCAAGTCCAGAATTAAAGGCGAGGTGACTCTCCCTGGTTCAAGCAGCCCATCTGACCCAGGAAGCATCAGGGGTCACTGTAGGAAGCCGGCAGCTATGCTACATCAACACGAGTGGAGAGAAGAAGGCATTTCTAGGGAAATAATCTGGCCAGAATGTCCAGTGTTCCCATCCATAATTTATTAGAAGTATATTTTAAAGAAACTCCATCATAGAAATAGAAATAGCTGCATATAGCCAGGCTCTGATGGCTCACACCTGCAATCCTAGCTATTCAAGAGACAGATCTGAGGGTCTAAGTTTAAAACCAGCCCAGGCAGGAGAGTCTGTAAGACTCTTATCTCCAGTTAACCTCCAGAAAACCTGAAGTGGCACTGTGGCTCAAAGTGGTAGAGCGCTGGCCTTGAGCAAAAGAGCTCAGGGACAGCACTCATGCCCTGAGTTCAAGCCTCATGACTGACAAAAAAAAAGGCTGCATTTAACTTCATCTGTCAGTGTGTGTGTGTGTGTGTGTGTGTGTGTGTGTAAGTGTGGGGTCCTGGGGCTTGAACTCAGGGCCTGGATACTGTCCCTGAGCTTTTGTGCTCAAGGCTTTACCACTTGAACCACAGCTCTACTTCTCTGGCTTTTTTGGTTGTTAATTGAAAGTAATGGTCTCACAGGTTTTCCTGTCAGGGCTGGCTTTGAACCACGATCTTCAGATCTCAGCCTCTTGAGTGGCTAGTATTATAGGTGTGAGTCACAGGTGCCCAATTAACTTCAGTTGTCTTAATGTTGTATTGTTTATATATGAGATTAAACTGTATATATATATATATATATATATATATATATATAGATAGATAGATAGATAGATAGATATAGATATATGCACTAAGAAGAACATATGAGCCAGGTGTCAGGCAGCTCACACTAGTTGGAAGACTGAGATCAGGAGTGAGTGGTTCCAGGCCTTCCCAGGCAGAAAAGTACATAAGACTTCATCTCTGTGGAGGAAGCTGGGTGTGGTGGCGTGTACCTGGCCCATGTACTTTAATGAAGAGCTCACATGATGTTTAAAAGCTTTAAATATGAAACAGTGAAAACAAGATGTTTCAATTATGGGAGCAAGTCTCTGAATAATTTCCTTAGCCTGGTTTTGACTACTCAAGGCTTTCAATGTTTCAAGTTTAGTCCGCCCTTTTACTGAAGGTTGGAGGAACTGACCAATGAGATGGGCTGCAGCGGTGGTTCCAGTGGTCGCAGACACCCCCACTGCATCCCGGCTTTGCTTACTAAACACTGGCCCAAACGAAAGGTTTATGGTTGAGAAAGTGAGGGAAAATTAATAGGCTAGCAGGACATGATTCTGTCTTTAGAGAAAGATTTGTTTCATATAAAGATAGAATAAAGCATACATTTTATACCCTCATAACAACAGAAGTGTTTTTTGCATGTAGGACTTAGAGCTCTGGTCATTCTTCTTATCATTCCCAAGGAATTGACAGCAGGAAGTTCCATGTAGGAAAATGCATTAAATGTAGTGAGAACTTCATTGGAAGTTATGGTAGCATCTTTTAAAACCCTCCATATAGAAGTTCTGGGTCTGGAATTTAGAAATTGTTTCTTCTTTGTGTGTTTTCTTACATATTTTAATACATAATATATATAAAGTGAATTTTTTAGTATGCCACTGTTGTAATTATGAGAAAATTTGAATTTTTAAATATTAGGTTTCACTTGTGATGTGGAAAAAAATGCGCCACTGATTAAAGCAGAAAAGAACTCTTTCTCAGACACAGAGAAGGTCTGGGACAGACATAACCAGGATTTTATTAAGCGCAACATTGAGGTATGTATTTAGAAACTCAGGGAGCAGCCTGTGGGGCCAGAGGAATTACAGAAATGGTAGTTGTCTATTCAGGGTCTCTAGCTATTTTTTTTTTTTTAAAAACTAGAATGTGTGAATGTACAACTGAATCAGTATATTCAACTGAAAGTTCTCTGAGCCAATGCTTGTCTCCACTGTATTCGATTTTTATTCCATTCCAGCCTATCTTTACGTTTCTATTTCCCCCCCTTTTAAAATGCCAGCTGCAACTTATGCTAACATTATCTTACCACCCAGATACAGTTGGTTTCCTGCAATTTGGACAGAGTTTCCACATTTTACATTACTGAATTTTTAAAATATATTTGTATTGTAAAGATACTGTACAGAGAGGTTACAGTTACATGAGTTAGGTAATGAGTTCATTTCCTATTGAGCATTGTTACCCCCTCCTTTGTTTTTCCCCTACCTTCCCTTCCTTCCCCACCTCCCAACTCCTCTCTCCTCTCCCCCTCTCTACCCCCCCCCCACATTATTTTGTCTTTTGTTAGTCATGGGGCTTGAACTCAGGGTATGGGCTCTGTCCCTGAGCTCTTTTGCTGAACGTTAGCACTCTACCACTTTGAGCCACAGCTTATTTTTTGGTAGTTCATTGGAGATAAGAGTCTCATGGACTTTCTTGCCTGGGCTGGCTTTGAACAGCAATCCTCAGATCTCAGCCTCCTGAGTAGCTAGGATGACAGGCGTGAGCCACCGGCACCTGGCTATGTTTTTGTTTTTAATTGTTTTGGTAATGTGGCTGATTGGGAAGCTCCTGCCTTTTGAGCAGCTAGTGCTCTGGGCAGAGCAGCACCAGTGGGGTGGGCTGGAGAAGACAAGCGGCAGCTGTCCCCCTCTGAGCCTCCAGGCTCCTGGCTGCCGTACCTGACCAGCTCCCTGCTGTAGGGCTCATTCTTGGCCTTCTAGGTCCTGCAGCTGACTCAGACCAACCAAGGGCACAGGAGCTCCTCTATCAGGCCAGAAAGCTAATGACTTAATTTACAAGAAGAAATGTAAGTGGGGTGGGCAGACGGCTTCAGCAGCCATCTGGGTACCTTGTCACCAGAAAGATGCAGCCATGAGTGTGTAGCATTAACAAGAGGAGACCATTAAGTGATTCCTGCTGTTTAGGTCCAGTGGCTTTTCCATAATGACTATTTTCAAGCAGACTGAATTCAGGAGTCAGCCCAACCCTGGCACCCTGGCCTGGGGCACCTCAATTTTCCTGTGCGGCATGTCCATACAATGCCTCTTTCCTGTGCTGGCCTACTACATCCTGATTTATTGCTGAATTTTCCACATGCAGGAGAGTTTCCCCAAATCCATGTTCTTGCTAACCCAGACAGCATCTTCACCAGACTCTTCTGCTAGCCTTTGAATAATCTGACCAAATCTTTATTTAAATGCCTTGTTTTACCCAGCACCACTTCCATTGCAATTTCAAGACAGTTTATTTAGCAGATGTATGCTAGCAGAAAGTGATTGGGAGATTCCTTCAAAATGTCTCAGCAAATAAATGTTGTATCTATATCTACATCTGTATCTTGAGAGGGAGACTTGGAAACTGCTCATGTTTTATTGGTTTTTATATGAAATGTTGGTTGAAATGGGTAACAAGAGGGCCTTCTTCCAGTGGAAATGCCTTTGCTTGGAGACTGGCCATTTAGTCTGTAAAAGATGCAAGATAAAAATCACCTAGCATTGGGGCTGGGAAGGTGGCTCAGTGGTAGAGCGCTTGCCCTGCATGCCTGCAATCCAGCTACTCGGGAGGCAGAGATAGGAGAATCATGGTTTGAGGGCAGTTGGGGCAAAGTTAATGAAACCCTATCTCTTAAAAAAAAAACTAAGCAGGGCTGGGAAGGTGGCTCAGTGGTAGAGCGCTTGCCTTGCATACCTGAGGCCCTGGGTTCGATTCCTCAGCACCACATAA